TTTACTGGGCATAGAGCTATTTACTGAGATTTCTCGGGTACAGAGCTATTTACTGAGCTTATCTTTATCTGGTACGAAGTCAAACAAGAAGTCACAAAATCGTTTTGACCAATATTTAAGTGCTAACGACTTCCCTGCCTTGAAAATCAGCATCCGGAATTCTGGTTGAATTTCTATTGTATCTTGAGTTCACTCCAGATCCGCAGTAGAACTCATATATACAATACATTGTGGAAAAGATGATGGTGGAAAAGGGTTGGCTCATTCTTTCCTTCCAGAAAGTATTTGACTCCACCTCTCAAGGATAAGAAATGGAGTATTACTGTCATATCTTGGCTGAAGCTACACTATCCTAACGTTCCAGTCTTGATAGCGTTCTAAATTGTTTACGCGCTCAGAAGACATTCTTCATTGTGTAGATTTTTTCCTGAACATTATTGTCTTAATCTCTTCAAAGGTCAATCTTTATCTATCCTCCTTATCCTCATAATCTACTTTATCTTTCATTCATATCACACACTTCATTCATCATAGCCTTTTTAACAATAACGCTCTAGCTTAAGTGACTCCCATGTATTCAGGATAATTCTAGCATTAAGAAAAATTGTTCTTTGACCACCAACCATTGGTGCCAGTACAAAATACGAAACTACCTCTGCCACAAAGTTTAGCTGATGCAGGCACATGATCAGAATTTTAGAACACCCAATACAGATCGAATTCACTACATTAGCAGCGGATTGCTAGATGTGCTTGTTAACCAATACATCACTGCAAGATGCCCATATTTTGGTTTAGTACAAGTCCAAATAGTTTCAGAATTTGTTTTATGATAAAGTTCTAATTTGGAACAATCCTACCAGCTTAGAAAAGTTGGCTTTTTAATTCGGCTGGAACACAGACCACAGAGACCACTTTAGGAAATGAAGAACTATCTCAGCCATCAGTCGGGACGACATTCATATCATTTCAAGAAAATCTAAAGTCATCAAAATAAAGATTCTGCATGAACGATCGTAACAAAATTACAGGAACAAATATAATTTGGGGGCTTGGTGGAAGAGATTTTAGTTTTCTTGTCTGACATTGTCAGGAAACAAAGAATTTTCTTGGAGTGAGAAAAATCACACGTTGTTTTATGTTCATTTATTTCGAGTTATTTTTACTGTTATGTTTCCTTTTAAAAAGATTTTTTTCTGTGACCTCCTGTTGTTGAAACCTATTTTGATTACGAGCAATGGCGACTCTCTCTCTCTCTTGGTATTCTGCTAGACTGGATTATTTTGTTTTTTGGAAGCGAAGCGCTTTTCATAAATCAGCAGTTGTCAAGAAATTATCTCATACCAAGAGAAGTGTTACGTGTTCGATCCTTATTGGATTTTCCGCGTCAAAATATGCAAACTACACATATCGACGTTAGAATCCTCACTGCAAATTAAAGTCAACTTATACCAGACTAAACAAATCTTAGTAAATATCTCCTAAAGTATAACAGAGAGAAAGAAAAAAGAAAAAGTCTGATGAGTACTTAACCTGACGTACGTGACGGTTTAAGTAAGAATGCATCGCGCCAATCTGAAGTCTAATCTGTCGAAACTAAACCGGTTCAAATGTCAAAATAGGAAAGAAATTGGGATCTTTGTCTCTGAATCGCTGATCGTAACCAGTAAATATTTACTGTGTCATACGTTGATAAATAAAGTCTGATTTTGTAAAAAAAAATATAATTGCTTAGACATCACGATGTTCTGATTGCGTGTAAACCGTCCAAGGAGAAGCGTGTTGACCGTGGAACACTTTTCAGTTGTTTTTATTATTATTATTATTATTATTATTATTTGACCGTTCTAGATTTTACAAGTACTGCATTAGAAGAGGGCACATGGCTGTTCGATCTTTTTTGAAAATTAAACTTTCAGATTAGAAATAACTTTAGAATGCCGTTCATCAGCAAAAACTTTTCATAATAGTTCAACTTTATAATGACTATGAATTACTATAGATAAAGCAAATAAGTAAATAAATTTTAATTAAAACCAAAAAGTTTTTTTTCTGCCGAATGAAAATGCTTCATATCGACATCGGCTCAACCATTTTTTTTATTGTACTTATTTTTTTTTTTTTTTTATATTTTGGAATCAAATGGAATTTTTTCCAAAACTGATTAGTTTTTTAATGGATTACATAACGTAACGGATAAACTGAAATCGACTTTCCCCTAAAGGTTAAGGGGAGACTTTTAAAGGTTTTCTTATTCAATTTGATTTGGATGTCTTTTTAATTTTTATTTTATATTTAAAAAAATGTCTAAAAAAATGTGACATCGGGAAAAATTTATTTTGTTGAATGATAAGAGAGGCAAAAACGATTTTTATGTTGTTTCTAAAATATCCCCAAAGGTTATGACCTTTTCAAATTTGTTTCCAGATTATGTGGTTGAATTGACAAGAGAGAAATCTTATTTAGGATAAGGCAATTTTCAGATTATTAATTTAGATTTCCGACCAATATCAGGTAACATTTTGATTAAACTGTTGCTTCCAAGAAGCTTTTTCTTCATAGGAAATAATCAAATGGTATTGAAGGAAAGTGATACACACTGGAAGTCACAGACATGTGAGCTTCGGTAATAGTAAGTTAAGCTTAATATCTATTAACAGGTATATAAAAATATGTGTAGAATGTATTATACAGTTTACAGATAGATAGATGTGAACAACTGAGATAGATAGGAATAGACTAAGATAGATAGATAGATAGGAATAGACTAAGATAGATAGATAGATAGGAATAGACTAAGATAGATACGAACAGACCGAGAAAAAAAGAAAGAAAAATAATGAATTAATTTGCATAACAAACAGATTGTCCGAAAGACTTTATCCTTTGTTTAAATCTTTCAGTCTCGATAATGCAAGAGATGAAAACGCATTGACCAAACGAGATGAGGGAAGCCATGACTCTAATGGATAACGTCTAGTCAAATTTCTCTGAGTGGATTTATACGTGATGTGATCTTTAGTTTATTATTATTTTTTAAGCGGACATTAATCTAGACACCGTTGCAAGTTGTCCGTGTGATTTGAACTCAATGAATTAGAAAATTGTTCGAACAGATGAGCTTACCATTACGCTACAACAGGCTTCCAATCTTTGTTTGCAATTTTGTCCAGTAAAGAATGAAATGAAAACTTATATAAGTAGACATAAACTCAATTACACACACAAGGCTTGAGTCAAGCCGTGATAAGGTTTTCACGCACTTTCCAAAGGCACCAAGCATGATGGGATCGATAACATCAGGAAGTCTTCTTTCCTGACAAACCGATCATGGTGAGATTCGAACCCGAATCTCATAATTAGAATGCGAACGTTCTAACCACTCGACCACGTGCCCATGGCCTGTAACTGATCTTGAACCCGGGTACTTTCAAGAAACCGTTTCTCTTTGACTATCTGTGCTTGCCGGCTATTGCCACAAATACGGCGTGTATTTTTATTTTCTGCATCAGTTCGGGAGCTGCCTTGTCGATGCATTCGATATGTTTCAAAGACGAAATGAAAACGTTAAAATTTGGCGCATGCTGCGTAGTATTAAGTCAGGACCTTCTCTATTTAGGATCGGCTTAACGCGTATTCTCAAATACTTGGCGTAGCCTAACATATTTCTCCGTGTTTACGGAATCAAATACGACAAACTCTTAAACAATACCGGGTTATCAAGAAAGTAGAAATTTGTGAAATTTGAATCAAAGTCTCTTTTATTAGTGAAGAGAATTAGTTTTTATTTTTAAAATCCGCAAGTTGTTTTTATACAAAAACTGAAAACATTATCTGAGCAACCACAACTAACAACTGATTTTATAGCATAATGTATAAGGCTCTGCTATTTTGGTATAGAGCACTTCGTCTATTTCAAATAAGATGTGTCCACTATAATAAAGTTTCAAATAATATATATGACATATACTGACCTGAATCAAATCTCTCATCCAAAAGCACCTCACACCATAACAGACTCATACCAATGCTTAAAAGAGAAGACTGTTTTGGACAAAGAAAAAAAACTTAAGAATTGGACATTGAAAGAGTGGCAAAATGTAATACGGAAAGATGAGTCCAAATTTGAATTTCTTGATATTAAAAGGAGAAAATCAAGAAGAAAAGTTGAACGATGAATGCGTGGTTCCAATAGTTAAGCCTGGTGTTGAATCTATTATGGTGTGGAGATGTTTCGGGGAAGAGGGGGCTGGAGAGTTGATTCAGGTCAAGGGAATCACAAAAAAAAAGAACAATATCATTCGATTTTGCAAAGGCATGCGGGGTCATCTGGTTTAATTGAAAAAAATCACCTTTCAATAAGACAACGATCAAAAACACTCTTCTAAATTATGTCAAAATTACCTCAAACAAAAAGGAAATTTTGAAAATTATGACTTGACTACCTCAATTTCCTGACCTCTCTCCCACTGAATTAGTCTGGGATGAATTGGATAAGAGATTTTGAAGAGAATACGCAAAAAGTGGGCGTGAGCTTTTTCCGTGGAAGAATGCTTGGGAAGATCTGCCATCTACATTTTTTTCAAAAACAGTTGGAAAGAATACCAAGAATTTGTAAAGCAGTAATTAAGGCAGGTGGAGGTTTTATTGATGCAAACAATATATGATGCTGTTATATATATTTCTATAGTTAAATGCTTAGTATTTTTTCAAAATAAAAGCAAATACATTATAGTTATTGAAATTTTATCTTTTACTTTAAGAAATCCAAAAATATATTTTTTTTTTTAATATAAAGAAGTCCCAAACTTTTTGCCTGTGGTATAGTTTAATATTTTCAGTGTTTCTTTGATAAGAGGTCGCCATATCGGTGTTAAGAGTGTTTATATAGAAAGTATGAACATAGGAATCAACATAGCAGAGTGTATGTCAGTTTCACGGTTCAGTGCAATATCAAGCCAAGTCTTGGGTTGAAGATCATGTTGAGGCGTGAAACTGAGAAATAACATCAAATACTGATTCTTATGTCTACAATATCTATCTATCTATCTATCTATCTATCTATCTATCTATCTATCTATCTATCTATCTATCTATCTATCTATCTATTTTGATCAATGTGTGTGCCTATGTGTAAAGATTGAAAACATCGACATAAATATAGTAGTATATATATATGAAGACATAAAATATTGAAAATGATAAGCATTAAACTAATGGAATGTATTGTTCTTAGATTGATAGATAGATGTTCAGCGATTGATTTTAAGAATATATTTAGATTGTGAATTCAACCAATCTATGTTTAGAATACTGATCTCCATTTCAAACACGTCAACTCCCGACACGCTGTCACAATACAACAGAAGATTTTGTAATTAACAAAGGATTTTTCATTTCAGAAGCTCCGTATTACGTGACCCACATACATTATATATGAGCATAAATTAAAGACGTGTAATTATTATTTACTCTCCAGTATTTTGTCATTTTCCTTTGCAATTTGTCTGTCTTTCATCTATCATAGATATTTCCCTCTTTGAGCGTTTTTGTGTTGTCTTTCCATTTCCTCCCTAGATTCCTTCAGAGAAGAGCGTGTGAAATGTTCCAAGCAGGCAAGGTTAAAACCAAAACGAGACCTAATCCCTTTTCTCCCACTCAAACATCCCACCTTTAACACATCCTCTATTCACATTGCTTTCATCTAAGTAAAACTTATTAGTGACCCTGACCTTCATTGAGCGCGCATGCGTATTGAATAACGGATGTGTTAAGGTACAGACGGATTTCATCAAAAAGATTCTCCTGTCAGACTGCAGCTGTTCTGGGGTGGGGGGGTAAGTTTCATGTAAACACCTTGACTTACAACGGAACGGCAATCCCGAGACAGCCAGCTGCTAGACGGATTGGGATCCTTAATTGTGTAGCCTGACGCGCATAAATTGTATCTGAATTATGATCGAAAATGTTCTCTCTATAATATCCGTCTATAAATTCTATGCATTATCGAAAATATAAATATTTTTCACTAAAATAAATGCTTTTCTTCTACTTTACTTTAATTATGAGTGCCCCCACTCTCACACACACACACACATATATATATATATATATATATATATATATATATATATATATATATATATATATATATATGAGGGCGTGCCGAGAATAGTTTTGCACACGACCAATCAGGAATTCAAATGTACATTCTCATGTGGTGTCATAGCTGGGAAATAGGTTGAGCAGATGGAAACAGCTTTATATATATATATATATATATATATATATATATATATATATATATATATATATATATATATATATATATACTACTGAGTAATAATGAACATTGAGCTACATTTGTGGATAATAATTTAGTTAATACGCATGTGGCTTTCTATCAACATATCTGCCTCTTGCTGAAGTAACTCCATATTTCTCTCTGGTGACTGTGTTCGCTGTTCAATCCCAGACAAAAGCTATGAGCTCAAATGCTGATTCTCACAGCTAATCATCTCTACGTGTTTGTAAGAGTACCCCGACTTCATCTTCTTAACGCCTCAACATTTACTTTAATTTATCTTTGTACCACTCTTAGCTCAGTTATTTTTAAGCACCGTCGCATACTGTTTGCTGAGTGAGTGACTGAAGTCATTGCTAATTTCAAACCAGTAGCTTTGATCGATCCCAGGTAAATAAAAACGCTAGTTTACAAAACATTGATGTCCAGACGCCGATCACAATTTTCCGGCTTCATTCATCATTTGAATTTTTTTTTAGTTTAACTAAGCTTTTTAATATTTAACATTATTCATTTTTAGAAATTAAAAACTGACAAATCTATAGTTTTATTTCTTATATACAAAAGTATAAGCTCTTTTTTGCTATTTAATAAAATAAATTTAAAGAAGAAGCAAGCATTTTAAATATGAATAAAACCGAGTGGAAGAAATGAAATCTTATTATTTACCTTAGGACGTTGCAACTGCATCACTAACTTTTCTGACCTGAACAAATAATCCTTCAACAAAAATTTGAACCCACTATTATTCTAAACCCATGTCACTAGGCTTATTGTTTCGCCACGGCGTTTAAAACTTTCCTCTTGCATAACCACCAAAATACTTAAACCGAGTGAACTGCCTTAATCACAACAATTTCACTAACACCATTTTAAGGTATATGAAAACCTCTCAAACTAAGAAATGATTGTGTAGCGCAACGAAGCAAAGGAGGGGAGTTGGAACCCACGCAACGCTGGGTATCGTTGCTAGTACACACACGCACATGATTTCATTTATATCTTCTTAAATAACGTCCATTATTCTATCATTATTTTTTAACGTTCACTCGATACAATGCCTAAGAGACACTCAAGGCAGAGAGTTACTGTGATTTTGATTTTGTAGGATCATAAAAAAGGCAAGAAGCACAATTCATGAGGTTATGTAAGAAAGGTAACAGTTATTTTGTAGGGTGGAAAATAATTCATCACCTCCAAGGCCGTGTAGACTATCAAGTCAGTCAAGTGAGGACTAGGCTGCTGCAGCCCCCGATATGACAGCAATGCTCTTGTAAAGAAAGAATATTGCAGGGAGAGTCAGATACTTACCCGAGCGGTACAATAGACCGAACAATTTCTCATAAGGTTTAGGAATAGCCCTGGTGTATATGAGTGCCACTTAAGATCTGGGGTAAGCTTGAATCACAGTAGACGTTCAAAGTACCCCATCCATCATGAGAGGTGAATGTTCGGGGTCTGCTCGGTAGTGGTAGAACGTTACTTGTTTGATTTTAAACATATTGAATTTTACAGGCCACCCCCACCCTTGAGACACCTGGACTGAATCAGAAGAGTGATCAGCTGCTTTTCGAGAGGCACCTGATGCGTCGTCCGTATAGATATTCACTAAAGATCAGAATATTATAAGAATATATATATATATATATATATATATATATATATATATATATATATACACACATCTGTAGATATAATTATTTCTTCGGTAGGTGATCAATAAAAGCAAAAGTGTGTGATAATGAATTTTGTAGATAAACCACGTTTGGTTCAAGGCTATGGGAAAATCACCGAGGCAAGAACTTGTTTCAAACGGCTTATAACGTCAGGAGATAACCCAATACCTGACCACTAAAAAGTACTGCATTCTCTGCTGCAATGGGTCGTTGAGATAGTTGGTCTTTTTCAACTGATGGTTGATGTGCTTGCCCAATTAAAATGAAAAATAAAATAAAATAAAATTTTGAATATCGATTGCCGAAATAAAGAGGTCCTTCCTGAAATGCGCTTTGTTGATTCAAAAATGAACGTTTTTCAAGGGAGGTAACTTCATATATATTTGTACATTTTTTTTTTTCAAAATTACAATTTAAGTATTTTAAAATCTTGCTGCTTCATGCGTATTTACAAAAAAATTACAACTATCTATTACATTAGTCTTAGCAATTAACCCTTGAAGATGATCTTGGGTGAGATTGAAAGGACTTTGGAAAACAAAAGGAATGAGAAAAACTACGTCGCCTTCCTTAATCTGTTTAATGGCAACATTAAGATACCGTGAATTTGAGAGGATTAAAATAAATCGACATATGTCTAGATTATTCAATCAAACATGCTTGAATGAAGATATTCAGCCTATATATATATATATATATATATATATATATATATATATATATATATATATATATATATATGCTTGTTTAAATATAAATATATAAAAACTTGTTTAAATATAAATATATATATGTGCGTTTGTGCAAATATATAGAAAAATAGGAAAAAGAACACGTTAGGTAAGTAATCCGGAGTTCTTTAGTATTTTTGTTTTTATTTAAAAAAAAAAAAACAGTGCTCCATACAGAAGTAGATCTTAAATTATAATAAATATAATAATAATAATAATATAATAATTATAATATATATATATATATATATATATATATATATATATATATATATATAACAAGTTCCGTTAGATATTATGTTTTTGGGAAATTGTATTTCTGACATAAAAGTAAGTACATATGTTGGTTTAACAACCACTACATTGTCAAGACGTCTTACACTTCATTTGTCGGGTACAAGTTCTATTGCACAACATTTAAATACACATTCCTGTCCACCTTCACAATACAAGAAAATACTTATTGACAACCCCAATATACTCCACCATGAAAATAATAAACAAAAATACAAATTCTCGAGGCCCTTTATATCAAAAGCAAGCAACCAGCACTTAACAAAATTCATTACGAGTGTAGCAGCAATGTGTTGAAGTGCATATAACAAACACTTAATGCCATTTTGAATTTCTACCAATTTTACGGCTTTCTTATATTGGGACGCTTATTTACCCCCAAAAATCCGTTGCTTAAAATTGAAGTTAAAATTGTAAAATAATTATAACAAAGCTCGTTCACGCGTTTTTTAAAAATCACCATCACAATAAAATGTAGATTTTATCAAGTTTGTCTTTGTAATTCACCCTTGAGGCTGATACTGGAGGGGATCGAAAGTACTTGGGTAGTAAAAAACTACGGTGCCTTCTTTGATGAATTTTATCATAACATCAAGAAACTGATTAGGGAACTGGAAAGGATCTTCATAAAAATAAGCAGGCATATTTAAAACTATCGCGGTGAGGTAGGAAGAGTCAAATACTCACTGACAGGGTGTCATCTTAAATCAGGGTTTTTCGACTGTCAGGTTGCGTGTTGTTTTTAAAACTACTTCGGTGTTTCCCTCTTTCGTCAAAGATCGTCTGCCCTACTTACAAAATAGTTCTATTGTGTATAAGTTTAAATGACAGAGCGATGCTGAATACGGGTAACAGATCAATCGGGAAACTGGAAACCCGAATTGGTCAACATGCTACTACAAGATTAGGTAATCTCAATCATTCTTCCAGAACAACCCAATCGGTACATGACTCAGTAATAGGACAGCACCTATTAAACAACCTTGACTGTGCTGATAGATATGAAGATGATTCTTTCACTGCTCTTTACAGAGCCCGGTCCGCGAAACATTTCAAGATTGTTGAGGCGGTTTATATTAAGATACACCAACCGGATCTATGCAAGCAAAAAGAGCATTTTATTCACTCATGGCGTTTCTTCGGAGGGAAATGGGTAACATTTTTTCTTTTTTAATACTCCCTTGGAACATTTAATTTTTTATTCATGAATTATTTCACTAATAAAGTGTTATTAATTGCGTTCCAAAGTTTCTCAGCTGCATTTACTATATTTGCTTTTTTTCGCGAGCATCTCCTGTCTCGTCTTATTTTTACTAACGATTTCCTTCTGATGAAGTGTTTGTTATAAGGAGCCTAAAGGAAAAAAAAGTGAAAATGCCTATGTCCTTTTTAAAGTCAAAATATGATATATATATGAAACCGTGTATTTGTTTTTTTGTTTTTCCATAGATATCATCTCAGTTTATATTTGTCGCTCAAGATTATATCGTCGTTTCGAAGGGCGTCAAGTGTTGCTCTCCGGTGGAATGGTAAGATTTTAGCGGAAGTGATCACGAAAAACAGACCGGAACTTACCATGAAGGTCGATGTTCTGTTTATCATTAGGGAGTCGGGAATAAATAAACAGGATTCACGTGATCCAAACAAGAATCACGTGAAATCAAGTCATGGCTACCAGCTGTTGTGGATTACCAAATTAAGTGGGGTCTGCAATCTGTCATCTGATGGTTCTGACATTTACTAAGCACGACAAATTGCTGAATCTTCTCTCTCTCTCTCTCTCTCTCATTATGTTTCTTCCTCCCTCTCTTTATCTTTATCCTCACATTATCTATCTCAATCTGTTCGTATCTCTCCCAATCTGTATATATATATATATATATATAAATCTGTTCGTATCTATCTGTCTATCACTATATCTTAATCTGTTCATATCTATCTCAATTTATTCATATCTATCTAGCTAGCTATCTCAGTCTGATCATATCTATCTACCTATCTCTCTCTCTCACTTTATATATATATATTCGTATCTATCTATCTATCTCAATCTGGTCATATCTTTCTAGCTCTCTCTCTCTCTCTCTCTCTCTCTCTCTCTCTATATATATATATATATATATATATATATATATATATATATATATATATATATATGTGTGTGTGTGTTTGTATCTATCTAGCTAGCTATCTATGTATCTCAGTTTTAATATTTACCTATGAACCGACAAGGATAGTTCCAAAAGTTATGCCTCCCTTGTTGAACCTTTCCCGCCAATAATCCATAAAACCAGTGTTACAAATGAAGGATGAATGGCGAAATGAGGTTTGATCTGAAAGTGTGTAGTCATTGAATGGTTTCCATCGTGAAAAGTTTATATCCTCCTCCGGTGAATATATTTATATTCTTGGGTTACCAAAATACAAATCAACTCCTGCAAGATATATATATATATATATATATATATATATATATATATATATATATATATGGGGCAGCAGATCATTATTCACACATATATTGTTAAATATAAGAGATAACGAATGTTTGATTATGAGCCGTTCTAAGCTATACGAAGCATAGAACGGCTCATGATCAAACATAATAGACATTCGTTATCTCTTATATTTAACAATATATGTCTCTAGCTCTCTACACCGTCTTGACATATCTATTTGCCTCCGTTGTTGGCAATCCATTTATATCTGCATATATGCCTGCATAGCTATTAGTCTATTTTTTACTTTAGTTGCATAATCCATTTCAGGATCCATAATCCATTTCAGAACCTATAATCCATTTCAGGATCCATAATCCATTACATGATCATAGCACAACTCCTGTTCACGCAAATCCTTCCATCATGCCGTGAGAAAACGTAGATTGGTGTCACTTTTCATTTGGCCTTTCCAACGCTTAGCGGGGTCTGCTCTTTGGGTTTTGGTGCGATAAAAACACTTTTTTAAATGCTGTGTCACAATTATGATGCTGCACTAAACTTCCCAAACTTAACTAATCCTGGCACAAAGAAACAACAGTGGGTCACTTAGTGATTTTTAAATCATTTTTGTGAAACTAGTTTTTGATGCATTTCACTAAATCAGGTACACTGTAATATTTACTAAATTTTGCTTAGCATGGTGCAAGGCCACAATAGAAAAGCACTTAGTGAGAATAAAATTTACCACTTTAAGGAATCGGACCTGCACGCCTAACATCGACCGATAGTCTTTTCTTTTGGAAATAACTTCCCTCCAAAATAACTTACTTCTTTTTTTCTCTTTCTCTTTCTCTCATTCTCTCTCACTCTCTCTATTTCTCTATCTCATTCTTTCTCTCTCTATTTCCTTCTCTATCTCTCTATCCTTCTCTTTCTCCTCACTCTGTATCCCTTCTCCCTCTTTCTCTCTCTCGTTCTCTCTCTATTTATCCCTCTTACTCTTTCTCTCTCTCCTTCTCTATCTCTCTATCCTTCTCTTTCTCCTCACTCTATATCCCATCTCTCTCTTTCTCTCTACCACTTTCTCTCTTTATTTTTCTATCTTACCCTTTCTCTCTATCTCCGCCTCTATATCTCTATCCACCCTCTTTCTCTCTCTCCTTCTCTCATCTCTTTGTCGCTTTTCTCCCAATCTCTCTCTCTCTCTCTCTCTACGCTTCTTTATTTTATCTCATTCTTTCTCTTCCCTCGCTCTTTTTCTCTTTCTCTCGCTTTATCTTCTCCCTCTCTGTCTAAACCTCATTCTTTCATTTTCATTCACATTATTTCTTTTTCCTTACTTGCTTCATTCTTCATTCCCCAAAACGTGCGTCGATGATTTCACCTTCTTTTTTAACAGACAATTATTTCTATAAATAAAACCTGACATCAACAACCGAGTCAGAACTAAACACTTGCACATGTTTTTTTCAGCGTTCCATTTATTCACTGCGATAAGAAAACTCAGCTACGTCACCTACTGGGATAAAAAACGAACACCTTAAGTTGAGGCGTGTCTGGCGCCACAAGAAAAGATGTTATTTCTTCCTTTATACATAGGATGTCCCCAAAAATATTTACACACATTTGGTTATGAACAACTGTAGAAATGGCTAGAAAGTTCATAAAGAGATTTTATAATAAATAATTAACATGAGAATAAAATTTGGAAATAAAAGTATACGATGCTGATTTTTAAATTACGCTTTATAAAAAAAAAACCTACTCAGATTTTTAAGAAAGTGTCTAACAAAGTTATAGATAAAGAATTATTTTAAGACATTTTTATGTTTATACATTCTTTTTTATTGATACAAATATTGAAGTAAATGCTCTGTTTATAATAAACAGCATTAGCAACATTTACCGGCCTGAATGTCCGAGAAATTGTCATAGAAAATATTCGTCCTCCGACAGGAATCGAACCTGTACGGAACCGTCCTATAGCCTGATGTGCTTTTACCGATTTCGCCACAGAGGAGCGTTTCCGTTAGCAAGGTCGATTTTAATGTTTTTTTAAACTACAATTTTTCATGATTTTCTCACGTATATTCATATCTGCTCGATGCGTATCCAAATGTAAACAAATGACGTCACGCATTATGAAATGGACAAAGTCCGACAATTATTTTAAGACATTTTTTTTAAAAATAATAAAAAAGTATCTATAAAAAATAAAGAAATAGAAGCGATTCATTCATTAAGGTTTTTTTTATGAAAGTTGTCTCGAACGGCCACTCTTCTAGATCTTTTTGTAACTACCCCCTCGGCTCTTTCCCTTTGCCCTACTTTGTTCTTAATATTCATCAATGAACTTCCTGATGACATTGCTTCACGACTTAGCAAGCGGATGACAGAACATGACCTGGGGGAAGTACGAAAGGGACAAAACTTATTGAGAGTTACAAGGGATAGGGGGAAGTGGAGAGCCATGATCGACTACGTCCTGAAGGGACACGGCACATAAAAGAAGATCTATACTAAGGGTACAACTATTTTCTCCTGTCTCGATAGTAAATCTATTCAGGTCAAATTCCCAACGGATATAAAAACTAACCTGCAATCTGCTGGTCAAGGAATGGATTTGTTAATTTTAACGCCTCCAAAACGAAACTGCTCTCTATAAAATCATCTGAGAGACTTCTTTCTACGTCACATCAGTATGGCTGATGCTAACCTTCGTGAGAATGAGTTGTTGCGCCCTTTCTGGATAATTTCTTCGACTGAATTCATTGCAAGGTCTGCTGTTAAGAAAGTTGATTCACTGTGTCGCGCTGAATAACTTTTCTCTCTAGAATCCATCTTGCATATTTATGTGGCTTCTCGGGTTCAGTCACTTTTTCACCATTGAGTGTCGCCGCTAGGTATTGTCCACTTTTATATTTCATATTTACCAGTGTCCACTTACATATTTCATATTTAGATACGCTCTTTATACCCATAAATATAGCATAGCTTAATTTACACTATTTACATTGGTCGGACTGTGGTTTTCATCTTTATTGTCATATTCACGACGTTTCGGCTTTTGTAAGACCCGGCCCTCTTCAGGTGATATATGTTGGAATTTCGAACCGAACTCTTTATTTCGTCTACAAGGCTAGACTGTTCTAGTTCCGCATGCCATGCCTTTTCTGGATATCTCAGTTCCAGTTAATTCCTTTTAGTAACTCAACTCTCCAAGTTTTTGGTCAACTCTGCATAAATTACTCGTGTTAACTATATTTTGCTGCGCGTTAGTTTTTAGATTTCTGGCGTTTTCTCTATTTATTATTGTTTCTTACTAGTGCAGGTGTAGCTTAATTTAACTGTGTTTTTATTAAATATCTTATGTAATTCTGAATTTTTAAAGAAATGTTTTAGAAGTGACTTGAAAAATAATTTCCCTATTTTACATTTTACTTCTCAGTTAGAAGTGGGGTCAAAACAAATTATATTTTTTCTTTTCCTCGAATTTTGGTTTAAACCCTCTATACAATTATAGAAATAAGAATAGATGTCCATTAAATGGAGCTTGTAAAAGAGGAACTATAATTTATAATGCAGAAGAAACAGATATTAATGGCCAACATAAAACGTACATAGGATGTACTGATGGTACTTTCAAACGTAGATGGTACAATCATAGGTCGTCATTTAAGATAGCAAATCTTAGGTACTCTACCAAACTAGCTAACCATGTGTGGAATTTAAAAGAAAAAACAAGAATCAGATTGTAAGATGAAAAATTTTAAAAACGACAATATTTGCAACGTCTGCCAAAAGAAAAAATTAGCGATTGTGATATTTCCGGATCCAAAAAACCTTTTAAACCAGAAATCCGAAGCACATATGAGGCCGGTTAAAAAAAGAGGAATGCACATTTCAATTAACCCCCAACCGATACATTTACATCCTCCTCCTCTCTTTATATTACAGCCAACGTCTTGCGTTTGTTTATTTTTTACAAATATAATAGAGTTTTCATTAGTCTTTTCAAAAAATAAAGCGTTAATAGTTTCTTTTGATAAAAATCACCTGAGGATACCGTAAGATTGTAACCAAGGCAGCGGATTTAGCTGACCTCCTGATTTTTAAAGTTAGAAGATCTACATGGTATTTTTACATAGGTACCTCCGTTTATTTCGTGAAAATCTAATATAGCATGACAAGAATGGTCTGAAAATTAACAAAAAAAATTTTTTTCATGATAAAAGTATATTTCATTATTGAGAAGAAACACTAAAGTATTTTTTGAGTAATTTTTGAAATTTTTTACTCATTCTTAGCATGTCCGAAATTTTAGTTAAAAAAAACTTGTTTACAAAATAACGAACAAACGCTCGATATCGGCCATATTTTTTGAAATTTTAAAAATAAGTTAAATTCTTCGTTTAAAATTCGTTTAAAAATTAATTATACGTATTTCAAAATTTATTCGAAGAAATTTAGAAAATTTGAAGTTTATTTAAAATATTTTGAAAGAAACTTTTACCTACTTTCTTCGGAGAAAAATGTTTTTAAGATAAAGAGAGCCGATCTCAACATCGCCGCAATTGACAAGTGCTGAGTGATGACGTCTATAAATTATTGACAGCTGACGTGAGATTCAAGTTCTCATACGGAAGAATAGAATGGACATATCGTTTTTTTTTTAAGCGGACCTACTTAAGTAGTACTTTGTATTATTTAAAGTAAAAAAAACTTTCGCCATTTCTTATTTTTTTTTTAAAGTACTGTACCAAAAAGTTTGTTGAGGGTATCTGGAGAAATTATAAATACTATTAAAAAAAATTAAGATACAAGTGCTGCACTGCTGTTTGTGGGCCCATATAGACCCCTCTAAAGTCAATTCAGATTTGCTATTATAAAAATTTCTATCCCCATTAAAAATAATCAAACATAGTAAAAGTCATTTTGTCACAGCCTATATTCTCGGAAAAAAATAAATAAATGGATTTTTTTTATTTTTAGGTTATATATATATATAAAATGACTTATCTGGAAAAATATCAGGAAAGTTTATCTGAATCCCATGAAACTAGGTATTTTCTGAAAGCAAACAATATGTTTCATTTAAAAGTAAAATTGGCCAGTGTAAATGATTGAAAAGTTTTTAGTTTTCTAGAGGCAAAATGTGAATCTTACTTATTATAAAACCCAGGTTCTGTGTGTTACGTTTACATATTGGATCGAATTTCCTACATTTTTCAACCAATTTCAACCAAACATTACAGGACTACGATGAAAACTAGATGAAAGTACCTATTTTAACTTAATGAAAATGATGCACACGTTTTCAGCAGGAACAGTTTGCTAAATTAAGGGCCGTATACAGCGAAGAACAACACTTACTAGACAGAAACTCAATCCACGTGACGTTATTTTTTATTGCACGTACCAAACTTCTGGTCTTCCGTAGATTTCATTGGTAAACACATTATTGACAAATTAATTTTTTAATATACGAAGACTCATTAGTTTGTAATAAGCTTTGGAAATTATAATCTGTAAATATTTATCTACTTAAAAACAACATCCGTTAAGCTGTACGGCTTTTCCATAATTTTAGAAGAATTAACAACATAATGTAAAAAATAAAAACAATGGTTGCAGAAATAAAAAAATAATTGTAGGTAATTGTTTTAAAAATTCATTTTTCATCGAAATATCTTTTTTGCTTTCAGACAATATTGTCCATGTTTATTGGAATAAATAAAAGCAATTAAAAAGCTTTTGAAATTAAATAATATTTTTGTTTTATTGAGTTTTTGTATGTTACACTTCAGAGACGATTTTCAGATAGAAGGGCTCCAACTAAAAAAACAAAAAACATGATTTTGTTTCCTCAAAGCATTGTGCTTTTAACTGATATAATCACTAAACTCCTCATAATTGAAATTATAGAGTTTTCGTACAATTAGTTAGAGCGGGTAAATACATATGGAAAAAAAAAAAATCTGAGATGACTTTACTAAAAAAAAAAAATGTATTTATAATAAGTTCCATCATTTGTAAATAGTTTCTGAAAATTTCATTAAAATCCGACAATTATTTTCATTTTGCAAGATTTTCCAAATTAATGTGTGTCAAACGGGAAAAAAAACGCGCTAAAATGTTTATACGTTAATTTATCAGCCAAGCTGATAAAAAAAGAAAACAAGGTCTTTTAATCAAAATTTACAATGTTCTAAAAAAGAAGGAAAAATTTCAAAAAATAAGTAAAAAATACTTTGATCTTTCCTCTAAAAAGTAGCATAAGCATTTAGACGCGAAAATTTTGTTTTCATCAACTTTGGCGTCTTTTTAATCATGCTATGCTCTTTTTTTAGCGATCCAACAGAGATACCTATTTTTACATTTATTTTATTTTTTCACAAGTGTATTGAGCACTTTT